GCAGAAATACAGTCTCATGAACAAAATCACATTAAAAAAACATCAAGAGGATTGATTAAGAAAATAATTCATTTCTAAAAAAGAAACAAATCTGTGATCTAAAACGTTAGGAATATTTAAGTTGGTATTGTCAAATATCAGGGTATAATTAAAGATTAATCCCACTACAGAACTACAATTCTGAAGATGAACTGTAGTAGAAAAGTCACTTGGAGGTGGGTTTACAAAAACAAGTATTTTCAGCTGAGTATACATGTGTCCTGCATTCACGGATGCACAGAAGACTTAAACTGGACCTTCAACCACTGACCTCCACGCAGACCGATGCTTTTGCCCCTGTACTGTCCATAACTGCTGTTGGCCCCCACTACAGACCTCCTGCTCCATGTGTAGCGCGGCATGGAAACACAGACAGTTTTACAGCACGCCGCTCACGCTGAGTCTACGTTTGACTTGACTTTCCTATTTCTCGCCACATTTTCCTCTCCTGTCCGTCCACGTCTGACTGCTGTGGAGGGATGAGTCAGAAAGGCCACATGACTGGAGGGCAGAAAGGTCAAGGCTGAAGGATGTACAGGCACAGCTGACGGTGTGTGAATATTTGTGTGTGTTTGTGTGCAAGAGTGAGAGTGATGCACTAAAATACCAGGGAAAACCGCTGAGTGACGCCTCCTCTCAGGTTTCAGCTCTCTGCTGTGAAGCTTCTGGGATTGTTAGACTTGACTAGCCTTAAATACCAAACTTGGTTTAAAGTAAATGCTCAAGTCCAGTTGTGTATTTACCGATAGCAACTACTGCCCTCCTCAGGGCGTGTTATTGTAAATGTCAGAATCTTTTAGGAGAAAAGTTATTAGCAAAAAGAGTTAGTTCAAACTAGCCAGTGCTACAATCAAGAAATAGCTTATATGCTAGTCACTATATTGCTACCAAACGACAGTAAGTCAAAAAGATATTACTGGAGGACCTGGTTATAACATATAGATATTGTTAATTTGCAGTACTACTGAATACTCCCTTCACACACTGTTTACTAGAAACAACACACGTGTGGCCGGTCGTCCAGAGGGAAGAAAAACCCAACTCACCCACCAGGCAGCTCACTCCCCCCCCCCAGGAGTCAGGCCTGTGGTTGGTCATAGTAATAATAACTTACATTTATATAGCATGGCACAGCATGGAGCTGTGGTGAACATCCCTTATTTTCATTTCTGAAAGATGGCCACCCTCCCTGGGTGGTCTCTGCTCCTTGTTTTAAACAGGTTTACCTCATTGTGAGGAGGTGAGGTTGTAAACCACTGAGGACAAACCTGGTCTGCCCTGTGTTAACAGTAGGACAGACTGTCATGGCAACCACAAGGGAAAGTCATAGTACAGTAAAAGTGAACCTGTTTGAGAAATTCTTGTCTTTGTTTTTTTTTTTCTTTCTTTCTCCCCTTGTTGTCTATGCCTTCCATCTCTCGAGGAAATCTGATGAAAATAATAGTTTTAGTCCTGGACTGAAGTAGGTCAGTGGAGCCAACGGTCAGACTGAGGCAGAGGGGAGTCAGCCGCAGCAGGTCCCCTCAGGTCAGAACTAATCCCAACACAGAGTGACCACTGACATACAGACCAACACGCTGCACCGTCTGTATGTTCAGTCACCATAGACAGTCTGTGGTCTGTGGAGGTGTACTGTGTGAGAGGGTGGAGAGTCAGTGTGTGAGCTCATCCCAGCAGCAGACCAGTCCGTTAAAGACGTGGATTCATCAGGGATGTTATTTTGACATCACTGTTTGCTGTATGACTTGGATACAGTAACACTGAGCCGTCACAGGATTTCCTGTACAGATAAGAATCATCTCAGTGAAGCGGGAACGATCTCGGTGATTATGGGCCTCAGTGGGCACCGTGTCGGGCTCAGATGGGGGATAGTGTTGCCTGGGGTTAGCTGTTCAAGACATGTACAGACAAGAGGCTGAAGAGGAAAAGGAGACGTAGAGGATTTGTGAAATCTGACACCGCTTCTAGTCTTGCAGCTCTGTATATTAAGCTGGTGGCCTGCAGGGGTGCTAGTGGTGAGGTACGCCCCCATTACACCCCCAAGGCCAGAGCTAAAGGCTGGGGATTCACAGTTGAGACAGACAACATGTTATCACCACGGTAGTAGAATAAGAACTACTCCATCAGAACTGATGATTAGTGTTGTGTGGCCCATCAGCCCCTGTGCTTTGACTCCATGTTGGATGATATTACACCAATGCATGGCCCATAATTCCCTCCTGTGTTTTTCAAACAGGAAGCATTCATGACTAATACATCCAATGAGCCAGTTTACTGAGTAGACATACAGCCAATTCTACACATCACACTTCATTTATAGCTTGTTGCTAGTAACATAATGGCACTGTCCTCTTTTACTTCAGCTCAGTACACGTTTCTAGATTACCTGTGGAATGTTCTTTAACCAGGAAGGGTCATGTGATGTCAGGTCTTTACATAACTGCTGGTATTTGTTTACTCGTGTTGAAACCCTAAGAACATCAAAGAAAAACAAACGTCTGGAGTAAAGCCTTAAATTAGGGTTTGGTTTGAACACACTAATCTCCCTCACCTCACTCATTTACAAAACGCCGACCCTTTAACTCTGCAGGATTCTTTTAATTATGCATCTCAACATCATCTTTGTCGGTGGCGGTAGTTTCTCTGAACTCTGATTGACAGGCCATTGCAACATCTTGGGTTCATGGAAACACAACCAAAAAAAGCCTAGCAATTAGTGGTTTTGTCATGTGATGGGCAGTGGAGGGAGGAGTGGAAACGCTTCCTATTACACAAGAAGGAAGAACAATGTGAAGCATTCCTGTGTGACAGCACATATGTTTCCTATGACAAACGGCTGACATGTAAGACGTCCAGCTTCAGGAGTCAGAGTAGCTCTTTCTGCCTGACCCAGTTAGTCAAACATTGGTTTATTTAGACACCAAACACCAGCCATCCCACTCTCAACTGTATTTTCACTGTCATTGAAGCCACTGCTGCTGCAGCGCACCGCTCTCTTTCTGCCTTTGACCGCAGGAATAAAGAAACAGACAAAAATCTGGATATTTGAGTTACTCACAGGGGGGAGGTGTTAAAGAAGACACTGTGTTTATTTTTGGTCTATTTCTTTAAATAAAGGCAGGCGTCTGCCTGGAGAAGAAAGCCAAACACTGTGTCAGTGGACCTCATGAACCCCCAGTTCTCTCACCGTCGTTTAAATGTTCCACACCACCTTCAAGTACTCTATGGCCACGACTACTTTGAGTTACCTTAATATATTAGAGTCAGTGAGTGATGAGGACACACGAAGCACAGTACGTGTGTCTGCCTACTCTCTTCAGGTGTTCTTACATGTCTGTTGACAAGTCAAAGTCATAACTCAGTTTGTTGTTCTCAGCTAAGCTAATGACGTAACATTAGTTGTCCCTGGAGGGGAATTCTTCAGTACAACAGCGTACGTCCTACTACACACATCACTACATAACAATGACATGACAGTGACAGGTGATACAACATGACACCTAGTCATTGTGTATACAGACATGACTATGGAATGGGGAAACACGTGTGCAGTCTGCGCTGTAAATACATAGCTGCTGTCAAGGCAGAGGTGACATGTCAGGAGTGTGAACTCAGTTTGACTGCAGGTTAAGTTTGCACTGCCTAAAACTGAATATGATGTTCATTACATCACATGATTCAGCTCCAGCGTTCTTGTAGCCTAGCCTTCATGCACCCACACCAAACCAATGGCAATGTCACACAGTGTATCAGCACACAGCAACTACTGGATGAATTCCCATTGAATTTAGTGGGAAAACATTGATTTGACCTATAGGTTTTCTTCTGCTTTACCTATCCTTGAAAATAATATATAAAAAACTTGACGTGGAAACATTATGGTGTCAATGTTTTTAAACTGCTACACAGAGCTAAACCAAATACCAATAGTAAAGTAAATTAGTCACATTGATAATAATAAAGAATTCAACAAGAAACACACTGTCGAGTTTTTTCTGTAATACCCAAAAGGCTAATTAGAACAGAAACTATCTGTGCTCCACATCCAGCATCATTCAGTCGTGTCTATGAATAAACCCAGTCCTGCCTGTTGGCCACTCTCTGTGTGAATCTCAGCCTCTGATTGGCTGATTGGCTGCCGAGATCTGTGTGGTTTTACGTATTTGAGTGAGAAGTGGGTCATGGAGAGCATTAACATACATCACACATCAAATGATGCAATAACAGAGAATATCCTCACGTTTGAGTCTGAGACCCTTGGCTTAGACAATAGTGGCCATTGACGAAAATAGTTGGATTTCTCCTTTAAAACACTGTGGCTATTGGTGCAGTTTCAGGCCTGTTTATTTGTAATGATTTTTTTAATTAAGCAGTAGATAAACATAATTGATTATTAAACTCTATCCATTCTTCAATAAAGCAAACACTATGAATATTCATAAACAGCACATTTTGGTTTGTTTTTCAAAGAAAAAAAAAAATTCTCCCTAATAATAACATGCGAGACCTGTCCTTTTCTGCCTGTAGATAATAATCAGTCTGGTTCAACTGGGCTGGAATAGAATCCATTTAAAAATAACAAACACTGACACAAAGTACACATTGTAGAGGTGTTTCTTGGTTAAAAACATGCGCCTGTTACACAACAACGCCCACACCGCACTGTTCACTGCTGCCTTCGCTTTCAGAAAAGGCTAAAAGTTGAAAAAACACAAACAGCTCAGAGCTCCGGCATCAGTGAGAAAATCATCAACTTCTAATCACAAGATTTCACCACACAGATAATTACAGCCACAGCATGAAAAAAAATTAATTCCAAAGCATCCAAAAACCTTAATCTTGCTGTTTCCAACACGAGTGTTTATCAGATGCCACCTACGTACAGTAGCTCCAAGAAGAGAAGCCAGTGGGGCCACAGCCCAGCTGTAAACCCACGCCTGACCTCACACCCCAGCACTGACCTGGCAAAGGACTACCGTCTCCGAAGAAGACGTCCTCCGCTTCTTCACGCAGCCTCTGGTCCAGGTCATCCTCTGCAACGTCGGTCACAGCCATCAGTGCCTCTCTCCGTCTCCCTGTCTCCCTGTCTCCCTGTCTCCTCCTCAGATGACTAACCACAGCAGCGCAGATGAACGACTGAGCCGCACAGAAATGGACGACCCTGGTGAGGACTGATCACCAGCAGGCTCTTCACTGGAGAAGAGGAGAGGACTGGGACTGAGCTGAGCGTCAGCTGCCTGCACCAGGAGTGTGTGAGTGTAACATGGAGTGTGTGTGTGTGTGTGTGTGTGCGTGTGTGAAAGAGTGTGTTCTCAGTAAGTTCCAGCCGTGCAGATTTCATAACATCCTGTGTAAAAACTGAAGTGAGAGTGTGCTCTTTGAATGGCACTTGTATGAGTAAGTGCTCATGGTGGCAGGGTCAGTGTGTGTGTGTGTGTGTGTGTGTGTGTGTGTGAATGCCCATTATGCACAGTATGAGTCTCTGCAGTGAGTCAGCACCAGTGCCTGCTGATTAGCAATAATTAGATTCTGTATTTTGAGCCAGCAAAGGTGTTAGAGTGTGTTTGTAGATGTGTGTGTGTGTGTGTGTGTGTGTGTGTGTGCCTCACTTTTCCTTCGCTCATGTCACCTCTGGCATGGATTAGTCTTTGGCACAGGCCTGGCGGTGCCCACGGCCCCACTGCGGGGA